CTCCGACGAAACAGTTTGTCACAGCCCCTCGTTTGTTGTCCTCTTCTCACTCTCTGCCTACGGTTTACCGGGCAGTTCTATTTGACGATATATATATATATATATATATATATATATATATATATATATATTTACCATGTTAGTTTGTTTTCCAGTTTTATTCGCACCGATGTGAAGGGTTTGAAGGGGGTAGGGGCCGGAGGTTGTGGCACATAAACGTATGCATCATCACAATAACACGGAGTCACTGACATCTCATCGCCACTGATAATAATAATGAGATAATTTCACGCACATGAGTATGAACTCCACAAACAAGGGAAAAAAAAAGAAACACACACACACACACACACACACACACACACACACAAGTCCGTCCCTGCACCACCACAATGATAACAACAATCAAAAAGTCTACGTCTTTTGCACCTCAATGTGACTCTGAGTAACGTACACGACACTACAATGGTATAGTACAACAATGAATCCGGACCTCGTCCATGTCGAGGTATCAGAGCAATGACCTCTCGACCGAAGGAGGCCAAAAAATCACGCAGAGGGAATAGGAAAAATTAACAACAAAATGAAATACACAACAAACCATAATGTCCAACATGCAACAAGAAGAAATACTCAAAAAACAAAAACCCCACAGTCACTCTCGTCAAATGGGGGCGTCCTAGCTCTCCGCATCGGGGTGAGCGCTGTTGCTGTCGTTGTAACTCTTGTCTACGTCGTCGTCATCGCGTATCTAAAACCGTATCTAGGCACCGGTCGCTCGTCCTCCTCCACAACGCCGACGTGTCTCCCAAACCTTGACGTGGCAACATCGGCAAGGGATGGTGATGGTCGTTGTCTAGCCTGTGGTGGCAAGCCTGGCTGTTGATGAGTGGATGCCGCCGTAACCCGGCTGCATGAGCTCCCAGAGCCATCTGTATCCCCAAACAGTACCATGTCATAGGAGGCATCTGTCGTTTGTGTCGTAGGGTGCCTCGATGTTAGAGTGCTTGTCCCGCTGCGACATTGTGTGGTGACACTACCAGGGGACTGTGAGACAACAATCCCCCGCTGCGACATTGTGTGGTCACACTACCAGGGGACTACGAGACAACAATCCCCCGCTGCGACATTGTGTGGTCACACTACCAGGGGACTGCGAGACAACAATCCCTCACACAGGTAGAGAAGCGCTTGACCGTGGCGTCGGGTTGGCGGGGCCCCACGTCACCGAACCAATAGTCGACAATGATTCCGGAGGGGGGCTTTGACCGCAATATACGCGAGTCTATCTCCGTGAGGTCCATCTGGAAACAACTCACTGACTCTTCTGGTGTCATAGCTCCACACACCATGGATCCCCGTGGTTGTGGCACATACCTCCGTTGAGTAATCTTTAGGGTCACGAAAGGTGGTGGAAGCTGCGGCGGAGGTATGCCTCTCCCGATTTGTCTGGCCATAGATAGGATGCCATCCGTCGGCTGCCGCCTTAGATCTCTGTCATGTGCATGGACCCCTTGACTTTGCATCTCCGGGCGACGCGACAGAAGAGTAGGCGCGACAGAGCTGGAGACAATGGGAGGTCGGATATCAGCTTCAATCTCCAGTGATGCCGCGTGACCTGCCCCTTGACCAGCGTCTCGAGCTATTGCGGGAGCGTCGGAATGATCTCCTCATGCTCCGGTCCAGCAATCGCACTGGCGTCAATGCGTGGTACTCCAATGTCAACCACGACATGCGCCTCACCCCCGTCATGTGTTGCCATGCCCTCCGATCCATATCTATGTACCCCGCCACACCCCTCAGGCTGTACGATTGCTGCCCCGGCCTCTTCGTCTACCACGACCGGCGAGCGGCCCGTCAGTATGTCCTTCAGCCATGGGACATCGAGGCATCTGTACTCCGCACGTCAGCCCCCTTAGGTAATGCGTCATCCTTGGTGCCCTGAACAGCGGCTGATGTGGATGGACCGCTAACCACAGCGTGGATGCTGGGTCGTCGACCTTCGCCTATGCATGATCGGTTGGGGGTGCGAGTGACTCACGTGTACACGTGCCCGTTTGAAGGCCGCGCTCCTCTTGTGCGTGCCATCTCTTGCGCGATATGACATTCGCGGTCAAGGAGTTGTGCACACTTGCTATCCAACCTATCCTCCCTCTTTGAGGCCGTCTCTCTTGTGGGTGTCGTGTTGTAGTCGGCCTCCACTCCCTCCGGTCCGCCATCCCCGCCCCTTGAAGGGGGCAAAACCAAGCTCATGGCGCATGCGAGGTGTGAAGCAACCCGGCATAACCTCGCCAATATACCCAAGACGTTGCCCATGTCCCGCCTCAAGACGGACTCTTGCCAGCGACGCCAGGGGGCACCCCCATAGACCCTAGATCGCTGAAAGGGCATGGTGACTCGCCAACGATGCCCACACCTACCCTCCATAGCACCTGACGGTGGCCCGTCCAAATCTTGACGTCGGGCTGGCGTCCCAGGGCGGGTCGACGACCCATGCATCATGGCAGTCCCCCTTGTGGTACAAGCCGCAGCGACAACATAAGTGGTATGGCCGAACGGTATCCCCTGCCCAACACCAAACTCTCTTGCCATGTCCGTCACGAAATGAGAAACATCCGCCGTGTCACCGTACTGGCCCCATAACTCCTCCACTCCCTCCTCCACTCCCTCCTCCACTCCCTCCTCCACTCCCTCCTCGTCCCCGAATACGTCTATCCCACCGCTCCGTCTATGAACATCTCCAGGGTCGCTCCAATCACTGTCCCCGCCACTTTTCGCAACTGCCGCATGGGTATCATTGAGACCAATGCCACAATCGAAGTCGTTGTCGTCCGTGTCATCTCTCGGGTAGCGGTGCAAGGTGGCCACTCATGTGCCGAAAACAATCTTGACATGCGCAGGCTCCTTCGAGCTACATGGATCTCTCTGCCAACCACAATGGTCCTCGTCACGCTCTTGTGTCCTCCCCCCATTTTTCCCTTCTGACAAAGGCTCTATCCCAAGCCCCGGCTCCATATCCAATAACTCGTCGTGCGTCCGGGGGAGAGTGAACCCCAGGCCCGCGGGCTGATGTGCAAGAAGGTGCGTGTTGGCCGATATCTCGACCAACTTCGCAACCTTCTAGAAACCCAACCTGTTTCGCTTATTCGTATGGACACTCTCTTAGATGGCCCAATTCCTCCTCACAGGAGAGGAAGATGTCTACATATGCATCACATGAAGAGCGTTGGGCTGCAGTTTAGGCGCGCAGTGTCCGAACTTGGACCACCAATGTGAGGAGTCGATGGTCTCAGCATGGCTGCCGCACTTCGTGCGTATCGGTACATGTCCACACAACCCCAACCAATCGCTTTGTCGCGCACATGGAAATCTCGAAACTGGTTGCATGCCCGCGAGTACAAATCGCTGGCGACGTGCAACCGGTCTGCGAGAGGATGTAAGTCTCCGCCATCGTCACTAACCGGCTGCGGTATGAATCGACCACCCCACTAAAATACCTCATGTCATGATGGTTGGGGCAGCTGAGGTGCGCAATGTCCGAACTTGGACCACCAATTTGTGGAGTCGATGGTCTCAAAATGGCTGCCGCACTACGTGCGTATCGGTACACGTCCACACCACCCCAACCAATCGCTGCGTCGCGCACATGGAAATCTCGAAACTGGTCGCATGCTCGCGAATACAAATCGCTGGCGACGTGCAACCGGTCTTTGAGAGGATGTAAGTCTTCGTGACCGACTGTGGTATGAATCGACCACCCCACTGAAAAATACCTCATGTCATGACGGTTGGGGCACAAAAGATAAGCGCCAGCGTGTGCTCGCTCCGTCATCATCTGGCACCGCTCCTGCACCTTCCTGAAGTTGAGCTGAGTTGTGGCACTGGGCAGTACGTGGAGCTCTCTTGCCATATCAATCTGCAATTGTTGAGTCCACTGCATGCTGCGCGACATATGCATACCAATGCGATCCAACCTGCACAGGAGATCATAAACGAGGTCCATGACGCGACACAAGGTGTCGATCAAGTTCCACCACCTGCCATGTCTAACATGCCACCTCACCCATCTGGCGAGCTGGTCAATCCGTGTGTCGCAAGGCACCATACTCCACCCTGCCGTGTCGACTGTCCTCTCTAAGGCCTGCCTGACGGCAAGCAGACGCTCCAACATGGCGAATATGGATACGAAACGTGTCTTACACGGGTAAAAGAGTGTGTGTGCTCTCCTTCCTGAAAAGTTGGAGAGCGACACTGTGCACTTTGATAACAACCGCTCTCGCTTGCAGTATAGTCCCCCTGACCCACTCACTCGCCATGCCTATGTTTGACAACAACTTGTTGCAGACATGCATTGCGCAGAGGATCCACGTGATGCTTCTAAACTGTGGCTTCATTTGAGGAAGAGCCAACGCGTCCGCAGTAGAGCTATTCGCCGCCGCCGAGTCCGTGCAGATGGCATTGACCCATTTCAGGTCAGACCACCAAAAAATGTCCACCCTTTGCTCCAAGACAGTAGGGCCGCCATCACGAGAACCCTCCCTATTCATTGTCCTGATCATCAGCACGCCTCGTGATGCTGCCACGAGGAAGTTGATGACGGGCCAGTGATCTTGAGACTTCTTGCCGTGTGAAAAGATCATAGCCCCCGTGACGGAAAATGGTTCCCCGACATCCTTGAGATCAGTAGCAACGTCATCCGCAGGCTGGCGCAATGTCTCAATCGCCTTGATCTCATTGTCGGAAGGCCACAAGACCTTCAAAGGTCGGGCAAGTAAGCACAATGTCTCTTGCACTCGTATACATCGCTGCGAAAGATGTTGAAGGGCAATTGCTGGCTGTACACAAATCGCAGAAATCTCTCCCTGTGCTCCACAAGCCACTGCGAGGCGTACAAATCCTTGATGGCAGGCTGTCTCATCCTCTTTCGGGGCCCTGCATTCTCCCCTTCGTCTCTCTCCTTCCTCTTCCTTGAACTCTCGCCCACTACAGCCTTCGTAGGCCGTTGCCTGTACGGCGCTTGCACATGCTCCTACGCCACGTCGTCGATGACATCGACATATTATTCACTCCATGCCCTGCCACTTCATCACCGCCTGCACCTAATGTGCCCGCCCCTCCTGCCGCATCGTCTACATCCATAGGTGGCGCACTGCCATAGAGTTCCACGTGCCGCTCTATCTGCTCCAACTGCTTGCCCTCCATCTTGTAGGTGCTGTTGCAGGGGATATCAACGAGTGCCTTGTTTGTCACCCCTGGACAACCCTTCCCCTGCTTGAAGTGCCTTGCTGCGACATACTGTGCGCCCTGGAATTTATGGCCGCAGTAGATGCACCTGGACATCCTCGTAATGCGGTTTCCGAGGTCCTGTCCGACGTGTTGTAGATGGCGTACCTCGTTTGGGCCCTCCGCTGCGTCAAGGCATTGACCTCCTTGAACTGGCGTGCCGGGTTCTCCCCATGGCCGATGAACCGCCAAGAATAGCTCCCTCGGTAGGCCCAAAACCCCACCCCAAACCACCGTCGCTGAAGGGCCCCGATCGTGACCCCTCGAAGCACCGTCATTGGAGGGCCTTGGAGGCACACCCCGCAGCGCCGAATAATGAGATGGGCGCTCGTTCAATTGTTGTGAATGGCGCTCGCGGGCGCGCATGCTTGCGACGGGGACACGTGGCGGGGACCGACGATCCGTTGCCGTCCCCGCTCTGCTTCTCTCTCTCTCTCTCTCTCTCTCTCTCTCTCTCTCTCTCTCTCTCTCTCTCTCTCTCTCTCTCTCTCTCTCAGTGCATCCGAACGGCGGACGCTGTAGGGGGCAGCGGCTTTCGAATGGCACAAATGTGTGTGTGCTGTCCAGAAACGCGGCTCTGTTTTGTGCACACCGCCGCCCGAGGTGTCTGCCCCTTTTTTTTCTCTTTTTCTTTTTTCCCTCTTCCCCTCGGCTGTTCGTCGGGCCCACGGTCCCTCCTCCACCCCGAATGCCTGCCCAACATCCACCCCCCCCGCGCACTAGTGACCGAACCACGAAATCGAACTCCGCATTCGGTCGCACTCATTGAACTCGCGTGCAATCCGTTCAAATAGTGAACGGAAAACCGGCGTTCATTGAACGCGCGGTTTCGTAGTGCGTCAAACCTTTCACCTTGCGTCCCTGGGTGAGCCCGGTGGCTACCACGAGCACAGGCTGGTCGTGCTCTGCTGTACAGCAGGGCGCCGATCCTCCATGGACCAATGGAAAGTCCAGTGGCGCACCCCTTCCTTTTACCGATGGAAGCGCCAGCCGGACTAGTCCAGAACTAAGCTGTGCATGAGGTGTGCCTAGCACACTGTGGAGGATTCTGAGCAGAGTGCCTGGTACACTGTGGAGGGCCGGGACACCGCCCCCTCCAACAGTGCGCGCGTAAGAGAATTATATATATATATATATATATATTTGTGACGATATATATATATATATATATATATATATACACAGAGAGAGAGAGAGAGAGAGAGAGAGAGAGAGAGAGAGAGAGAGAGAGAGAGAGAGAGAGAGA